CTATTCTCATTTTTTTTCCTGGGCACACAGCAGGAGTACATGTCTCAGCCCTCCTGCATCTAGGTGGGGCCATGAGACTTCTTTTGGCTGACAGAATTTAAGCCTGGATCTTGGCTTCATTTCTTGTGCCTGCAACTAGGCACAAAGAAACTCCAAGATGGTGATGGATCTGTGATGAAAGGGCCCAGATCCCTCAGAGCCAGCTTCTAGGAGAGCCACTCAGAGAGTTGCAAGACTCAAATCAGATGTGATGTAAGAAACTTGAATCTGGTTATTAAGGCATTTAACTTTGGGAATCATGTGGTTTGGTAGCTAATGAGCAGTGCCTTGACTAGCATAGGCTCTGTGTCCTGAGACAGTCATGTGTGCTTTCCTGGGTCTCACTTTCTTCAGCCGTATAGTGAGGATAATAATAACACACTTATGGCACAGGAATTGTTGGGAAAAGATACATTTACATTATATGGGGAAGTGCTTTACAACCTGCATGGTGTTACATAATGTTAGTTTCCATTAGTCTCCTTGCATTCTCCAATGTAATAAATGATAACATAGCATTTATTCAGTTGCTCATGCCAAAATTCTTAGATTCATTCTTTTGTCTTTTTCTCTCACACCCCACTTCCAATTCAACAGGAAGCCCTCTTAATTTTCCCTTCAAAAATATCCCAAATCAAACTGCTTTTTGCCACTTCTACTGCTACCACTTAGTAGAGATGCCCATCACCTGTCTTCTGAATTTATGCCTGGCTTCTAGCTGGACCTTCTGCCATTATTCTTTCCCCTTAAACCTATTCTCTGTACAGCAGCCAAAAAAAAAAAAAAAAAAAACCTCTTCTAGAGCATATGTCAGATGATGTTTGTCCCCTGCTCTAGACTTTCCAATGGGTTCTCCTCACTCTTAGGATAAACTCCAGAGTCTTATAATCACAAGGCTCTACATGATCTGGGTTCCCAAGCTCATTCGTTATTGTTCTCACTTACAGCTGTCCTTGAGATAGAGGCCTCAGGGCCTTTGCACTTGCAGGGCATTCTGCTTAGAATGCCCTTCCACCAGGTATCTACACAGCGCATGCCATAATTTCATGCATGTCTAGGCTCAAATGATACTTCCAAGATTGCCCTATGGGTATTAGAGCAGCTCCTCTCTCAGCTCAATACTTCAAGAGCTCCTTAAGCTGCCATTGTGGAATGGCACCTGAACAGTTTTTTTATGTAGTGGCTGTCTCCTAAACTGAAACATAAGTCTTCTGGAAACAGGACGGTTTTTTTGTTTGTTTGTTTTTGTTTTTTACCTTTGTATCCCTAGCACCTAGATGAGGGCCTGGCATAGTAAATTCTCAAAAATATATTTACAGAAGGCATAAAATCTATCACATCTTTCCAATTCCTACTTTAATGCCTCCGTTTTGAGCTACATACCTGATTAACTCACACTGAATAACTCTAATATTTTGAGACTAATTTTCACTTACAACTTCATGGTATACATCATAAATATTACCATGAGATTGATTTTTAAAATAGGCTTTATTTTTTACAGCTGGTCAGAGAAAAATTGAGCAGAAAGTACAGAATTTCCCTATACCCCCAATCCCACCACACAGGCACAGTCTCCATCACTCTTACAATTTTGTACCACATGCACATTCTACAGTCAATGAACTGACACTGGCACATTCTTATCACTCAAAGTTTATAGTTTACATGCAGGTTCACTCTTGGTGTTGTACATTTTATGGGTTTAGACAAATGTCTAATGATATGTATTCACTTGTAGTGCAGAGTATCATGCAGAGTATTTTTACTGCCTTAAAAATTCTCTAGGCTCCATTTATTCATTCTTTTCTCCACCTAAGCCCATGGCAATCACTGATCTTTTAACTGCCTCCATAGGTTTGCCTTTTACAGTGTCACACAGTTGATCTTTGAACAATAGGTTTGAACTGTGCAGGTCCACTTATCTGTGTATGAGTAGACCCGTGCAATTCAAACTCACATTGTTCAGAAGTTCACTGTATTTTTTATCTGCAGTTAGGAATCTGTATATATGGAGGGATGACTTAAGTTATACTTGATTTCGAACTGTGATTTTGGTGTTGCCCCTATTTCCCACCTTGTTCAAGAATCAACATAGCATGTAGTTGATATTATGCAGTGTGTAGTCTTTCATATTGGTTTCCTTAACTTAGTAAAGTTAAGGGTCCTCCATGTCTTTCCATGGTTTGATAACTCATTTCTTTTTAGCACTGAATAATATTCCATTGTATGAATGTACAAAAATTTATTTATCCACTTATCATGCAATTCTTTTTAAAAAGATTTTATTTATTTATTTTGAGAGACAGGGGAAGGAAGGGACAAAGAGAAGGAGAGAAACATCCATGTGTGGTTGCCTCTCATGTGGCCCCCACTGGCCTGACTGGGAATCAAACCAGCGACCCTTTGGTTTGCAGCCTGTGCTCAATCCATTGAGCCCACCAGCCAGAGCTAATTATTTTTTAAAATATATTTTATCGATTGTGCTATTACAGTTGTCTGATTTTTTCTTTCCTTTATTCACCTCCACCATGTACCCCCACTCCCACCAGCATCCCCCCCACCTTAGTTTATGTCCATGGGTCATACATATAAGTTCTTTGGCTTCTCCATTTCCTATACTATTAACTTCCCCCTGTCTATTTTGTACTTACCATTTATGTTTCTTATTCTCTGTACCTTTTCCCCTATTCTCTCCTTGTCCCCTCCCCATTGATAACTCTCCATGTGATCTCCATTTCTAGATTCTGTTCTGTTCTGCTTGTTTGCTTAATTTTTTTTCTTTAGGTTCAGTTGTTGATAGTTGTGAGTTTGCTGTCATTTTACTGTTCATGCTGTCGTTTTACTGTTCATATTTTTGATCATCTTCTCTTTCTTAGATAAGTCCCTTTAACATTTCATATAATAAGGGCTTGGTGATGATGAACTCCTTGAATTTGACCTTATCTGGGAAGCACTTTATCTTCCCTTCCATTCTAAATGAAAGCTTTCCATTCTTTTTATTTATTTATTTTTAGAGAGAGAGGAAGGGAAGTAGAAAGACTAGGAGAGAAACATCAGTGTGTGGTTGCCTCTCATGTGTCCCTCAATGGGGACCTAGCCTGCAACCCAGGCACGTGCCCTGACTGGGAATCGAACCAGCAACCCTTCGCTTCACAGGCCCGTGCTCAATCCACTGCACTACACCAGCCAGGGAGAAAGCTTTCCATTCTAAATGGCTAGAGTAATCTTGGATGTAGGTCTTTGCCTTTCATGACTTCAAATATTTCTTTCTGGCCCCTTCTTGCCTGCAAGGTTTCTTTTGAGAAATCAGATGACTGCCTTATGGGAACTCCTTTGTAGGTAACTGTCTCCTTTTGCTGCTTTTAAGCAGCAAACTTTAATCTTGGGTAATGTAATTACCCTTATCCTTATCTTTAATCTTGGGTAATGTAATTACGAGATGCCTTGGTGTTTGCTTCCTTGGTCCAACTTCTTTGGGACTCTCTGAGCTTCCTTGGACTTTCTGGAAGTCTATTTCCTTTCCTAGATTAGGGAAGTTCTCCTTCATTATGTTTTCAAATAAGTTTTTAATTTCTTGCTCTTCCTCTTCTGGCACCCCTATGATTCAGATGTTGGAATGTTTAAAGTTGTCCTGGAAGTTCCTTAGCCTTTCCTCATTTTTTTGAATTCTTGTTTCTTCATTCTGTTCTGGTTGAATGTTTATTTCTTCCTTCCGCTCTAAACCATTAGATATGAGTCCTGGTTTCCTTCCCTTCACTGTTGGTTCCCTATGTATTTTCCTTTAATTCACTTTGCATAGCCTTCACTTCTTCCTCTATTTTGTGACCATGCTCAACCACTTCTGCGAGCATCCTAATTACCAGTGTTTTGGACTCTGCATCTGATAGGTTGTCCTCATTGCTTAATTCTTTTTCTGGAGTTTTGATCTGTTCTTTCATTTGGGCCATATTTCCTTGTCTGGTTGTCCCTGTTACATTGTAAGGGGCAGAGCCTTAGGTATTCACCAGGGTGGGGTAACCCGCCTTGTTTTGGTGTGGTGGGAGAGGTCAGAGAGGGAACAATGCCACTTGCTTGGCTCTCAGCTGGCTTTCAGTTATTTCCCCTGCTACCCACAAGCCAACTAGGTCCTTCTGATGCTGATTCCTGGATGGGTGAGCTTATGTATGTTCTAGGACCCTGTGGGTTTTTCCAACGAACTCTCCTGTGAGTTTCTCCTGCTGTTGCAACACCCACAGCCACGTTTTTATAGCCAGAGGTTTTGAGGCTTTCTGTCCTCATGCTAGAGCACCGGGTTGCATGGTCTGTCTTGCCTCCCAGTTTTTCCTCCAAGTTTATCCACATGCAAATGTGGGACTGCCAGGTCTGCCAGCCACTACCTTGCCAGCCCTGGTCCTTCCACCTCTAACTTTCTGTGCATCCTCTCTGCCCCAGCTGCCCATACCCACCCCTTCTACCAGTGTTAATGAATTTTTCTTTAACTTCTTGGTTGTTGGACTTCCATTCAGTTCAATTTCGTGGCAGTTCTGGTTATTTTCTATTTTTAAATTTGTTGTTGTCCTTCTTTTGGTTGTGTGAGGAGCCAGTAAATCTACCTATGCCTACCTGGCTGGAAATTCTAAAAAGAACCCAAGTAATTAATTTTTAATGTAGATTTAAAATTTATTAAGGGAGGGGCCCATTTTTATAACATATATTTTCTTTACTCCCCTCCCAACTCCATCCAGTTGCCAAATACAGTCCCTTCAGGGAGAAGAGTCCCAATGAACCTGAGTAAAAGTTCTAGTAAATCTGTAATAACCCACACACTCACATATGCCTCTCTATATTGAACACATTTTTCTTGTTGGTATTCACATTGTGTATTGGTTCTGACAGCTCCCTGATGGTGTGTGTGTCCCACCTGAGCCAAAAAAGGAAGCTTGCATTAAGTAAAAATGCCAATGTACCTCCACACTCACCTTAACATTGCTCTTTGTCCACTCTGTATCTACTTCTAATTTCTTGTTATGATGAACAATATGATGAGTTTTTTTTGCTTCTTCTATCTCAGACTTCTTGATTTGTGATGATTGATTCCATAAACACAATGAGTAAGTACAAGTCTCTGTAATCTTGGGATTGAGTAAGTCTTTGGTAGAAAAAAGAAAGAAATCTTGCATCTATGTTTTTGAAGGCATCAAAGAGAGTTTGGGGGTTTGGGACATGGCCATATTTCCCCAGATAAGAAAGGCTGCCAGGAAAGAATAAGTCCTTGAAGAGGGAAATGTAGAGGTTGAATTTATAGCCTCATTTTTACATTAATTCATTCAATACATATTTATCAGGGGCCTACGATGAGCCAACCCAGTGCTAGCTGCCAGATACTATGGTGAAGACCACCCAGCCCAGACTTGGGAATGTGAGAGGTGACACACCAGCCACATGCCAATATAATCAGCTAATTCAGATAATTGAAAAAACAGGCTACAGTGGGGAGTCACTAAAAAAATAAAACATACATTAACCATATTATTTGAACTTAAAACATAAATGTCTATTAACACATCACCTTAAATGTAGGGCAAGTCTTTCCTTTGTGTGTGGGACTGATGATGGGCTCTGTGATCATTTTTGCTCAAATCACATTTATAATTTATTATCTATAATTTTTAGTTTTGGCAATTTCTAAATAGTTTGAGCATATAATTATAGTTTTGAAAGCCTCTACATATTCCCCAATCTTTTATGTATGTTTGGTGCATATCTAGTTACAAACACTTTTTTTTTAAAAAAGCTATTTTCTGACTTCCAGCCAAGATGGAGGCGTAGGTGGAAACACTGTACCTCCTTGCACAACCAAATTTAAGGACAACAAAGATTTAGAAACAAAAACACAAACAGAACAGACAGAAAATTGACCTGTACCAAAGTCCAACAACAACAAGCCATTCATCCAGACCTGTAAGAAGGGTGGAGTTCACGGCTGGTGGAGAGGGGTCCTGGGCAGGAAAAGGCAGTGGTTGGCAGAACTGGGTGTGGGGAGAAAATGAGCAAACCCAGTGAGGCGTGCAAGGTGGTTGGCTGACCTGGACACACATTCGTGTGAAGATAAACCAGGCAAAAAAAAAAAGGTTAGTGAGACAGACTGTGCAACCTAGGGCCCCAGTGCTGGGAAATAAAGCCTAAAAGCATAGATTGAAAAAACTTTGGGGGGTTGAGGTGCCGGGAGAGGCTTCTAGCCTCACAGGAGAGTTCATTGGAGAGACTCACAGGGTCCTAGAACATACACAAGCCCACCCACCTGAGAACCAGCACCAAAAGGGCCCAGTTTGCTTGTGGGAAGCGCAGAGGGCATTGAAATCTGAGAGAGAGTGAAACAAGCACCTCTGCTCCCGCTCTGACCCTGCTCCCACATATGGCACACAACCCAGGGACTAGGTTGACCCACTCTGGTGAACACCTAAGGCTCCACTCCTCATACATAACAGGTGTGAACAAACCAAAACATTATGGCTCAAGCAGAAGAACAGATCATAGCCCCAGAGCCAATACTTCTAAGTGACCAAGAGATAGTCAACCTATCAGATACACAGTTCAAAACACTGGTGATCAGGATGCTCACAGAACTGGTGGATTTTGGTCACAAATTAGATGAAAAAATGAAGGCTACACTAAGTGAAATGAAGGAGAATGCACAGGGAACCAGTAGTGATGGAAAGAAAACTGGGACTCCAATCAATGGAGTGGACCAGAAGGAAGAAAAAAATAACCAAAGAGAAAAGAATAAAGAAACAAGAATTCAAAACAATGAGAAGAGGCTTAGGAACCTCCAGGACATCTTTAAATGTTTCAACATCCGAAGTATAGGGGTACCAGAAGGGGAAGAGGAAGAACAACAAGTGGAAAACTTATTTGAACAAATAATAAAGGAGAACTTCCCTGATCTGACAAAGGCAATAGACTTCCAGGAAGTCCAGGAAGCCCAGAGAGTTCCAAAGAAGTTGGACCCAAGAAGGAGCACACCAAGGCACATCATAATTACATTAGCCAAGATTAAAATGAAGGAGAGAATTCTAGAAGCAGCAAGAGATAAGGGGACAGTCACCTACAAAGGAGTTCCCATCAGACTGTCAGTTGATTTCTCAAAAGAGAGCTTACAGGCCAGAAGGGGCTGCAAAGAAGTATTCCAAGTCATGAAAGCCAAGGACCTACATTCAAAATTGCTCTATCCAGCAAAGCTTTCAATTAGAATGGAAGGGCAGATGAAGTGCTTCTCAGATGAGGTCAATAGAAGGAGTTCATCATCACCAAGCCCTTATTATATGAAATGTTAAGGGGATTTATCTAAGAAAAAAAAGATAAAAAGATGAACAGTGAAAGGACAGCAAACTCACAGTTATTAACAACCACACCTAAAACAAAAGCAAACTAAGCAGACAGCTAGATCAGGAGCGAAGCCACAGAAATGGAGATCACATGGAGGGTTAACAGCAGGGGTATGGGAAGAGGAGAGTGGGGGAGAAGGTACAGAGAATAGACAGCATAGACTGTGGGGAGAAAATAGATGGGGCAAGAGTAGTGTGGGAAATGTAGAAGCTAAAGAACTTATGATACATGGACATGAACTAAAGGGAGGGAATGTGGGGGGAGGGAGTGTGTAAGGTGGAGGGGAATCAAGGGGGGAATAGGACAACTGTAACGGCATAATCAATATGCCGTTAAATATATTAAAAATAAACATCAATTTCAAAGAACCTATGCACCACAATGTTCATAGCAGCACAATTTACAATAGCCAAGAGTTGGAAGCAACCTAGGTGCCCATCAGTAAATGAATGGATCCAAAAATTGTGGTACATATACACCATGGAATTTTATGCAGCAGAGAGAAAGAAGGAGCTACTACCTTTTGCAACAACATGGATGGAACTGGAAAGCATTATGCTGAGTGAAATAGGCCAGGCATTGAAGGACAAATACCATATGATCTCACCTTTGACAGGAAGCTAAAGAATAAAACAAACAAGCAAACAGAATAAAAACAAAGACGCTGAAATAGAGAACAAGTGGGCAGCGACCAGAGGGGAGAGGGAAGGGAACTTAAGGGGAAAAAGGGGGAGGGATTTTGAGGAACAAGTATGAAAGACACAGAGTTGAGGACTGGGGGTGGGGGGGAATGGGAGGGAGGGGGGAGACCGGGTGGGGGGGGGGAGGGGAAAAAAAAAAAAGGAAAAAAAAATGTACTTGAAAAGTAACTAAATAAAAATAAAAAAAAAAACATTCTGCAAGTTGAGTTTACTGCTTAAAAAAAAATAAAAAAAAATAAAAAAGAGAAAAAGCTATTTTCTTATTGGGTCTTCTTTAAGCGTGCAAAGCATCACTTAAATTTTTATAGTATTAATTTTCTTAGCAACAAGTTTTTTTTTATTTTCATTTTTGTCTTTTTTTTAACTGAAAACTGGGACTAAACTAAGGACAATTGAAGGACAATCCCCACTCCAAGTGACCCTGGGTTGATGTCTGACATCTGCTGGGAGTGGCAGTGACCAGAACACTAGGGCAGAGCTTCTAGCATCCTATCAGCTGGGAAGCTCTTCACTGGAAGGGGTGGCCCAGCTTCTCTGGCAACTAAGTTAAGAGGAAGTTGGTTAAGAGAGCTTAGTTTTCCCTTGGGGTCAACACTATGTTGGAGGAGGTCATCAAGAGGACATGACTGCTGGTTGACCTGGGAGCTGGACCAGTGCAATCAGAGGACCCTCTTCTCTCCTCTCTTTGGAATGTACTCTCTGACCGCTGTTCCCACAGCTGGAGCTGTTTTCAAGGATGCAGCCTTGAGAGAGCAATGTGCTGTGAGACCATCTGAGCAGAATAGTGACTGAACAAAGGTAAGGCTTCTATATAAACTTTAAGATTCTCATGGGCAGAGATGTGGAGATAAAATTGTCTTACTACTGCCTAATACAAGCCTTGCAAGTAAGTTCTCTCACTTACTCAATCTGCCATCTAGCAATCTAGGGTGGCCTCCTTTTTTTTCCTTTTTTTTTTTTTTTTTTTTTTTTTTCAGTTTCCTCTTGCCATCTCTGTACTGGGACCAGTTTCTAATTTCACCTGTGAAGCTCCCAAGTTTGCAAACCAACAAACAGAATGCCAGGAGAGCTCCCCAGAGGAAAGTTTACCTGGGTTTGAGTTCTGGTAAATGTTAAGTCTCTAGTATTGGAAGGGGAATTCCCAACATGGGCACTGTATGGTAGCAGGTTAGAGTGGGAAAGGGTGAGTGGTGACTGATGACATAGGAGAGGCAGGTAGGTCTAGATCATTCCTTTATTCCCTCACTCAATGAAGAGCTATTGTGCACCTGTGTGCCAAGAACTTTCCTAGGATTAGGGATGCCATAGTCCCTGCTGTCCATGCTAGCAGGGGAGACCCTGGCCAGTGTGGCTCAGTTGGTTAGAACATTGTCCTGCAAACTGAAAAGTCACAGGTTTGATACCTGGTCAGGGCCTATGCCTAGCTTGGGATTCAGTCCCAGGTTGGAGTGAGTTTGAGAAGCAATCATTTGATGTTTCTCTCTCTCTCCACCCCCACCCTTTCCCTTCTCTCTAAAATCAGTACGCATGTCCTCAGGTGAGGATAAAAAAAAACAATAAAATATGTAATATGCGAGATACCCAGGGGTGCTTCAAAGTAAAATTAAGCAGGGAAAGAAAGATGAAAAATGATATGAGTGTGTGTGCATGTATGTGTGCACATGCACAGGCTGGTTTTCATTGGGTTGCCAAGGACCTTTTTTCCTAGGTCACATTTTAAGCAGAGGGAGTGGACACAGGAATATTGGAGTAAAAAGTGCTCTGGAAAGAGTGCAAAGAGCAAGTACAAAGGCCCTACAGCCAGGGTATTTGGCCCATTGAATGACTAACAACAAACCAGTGTGTCTGGAGAGGAGAAGTGAGGGCGTTCTAAGCCACATGAGGAATGTGGGCATTGTTGTGGAGGTAATGGAAGGCCAGTAAAGAGTTTTCAAAAAATTATACTGAAAATAATGTGAAGAAACGACTTACAAGGGAGAAGATGGGAGTCAGGGAGACCAGAGAGATCTCCCAGGGGAGAAATGTGGGTGTCTGAGGCAGCATTCATGAGAATGGAGACAGTGTGGGTTGGGGTGTAGGGGAGAATCAAGGTCCACAGCACATCTGAATAAATCAAGAGGCCACTAATTAGAGTTCAGAGAGGGAGGTCTTTCTTTGCTCAGGAAAATAAGAAGAGAGGAGCGGGCAGGGCCAGGTCACCTGGAGACCTTTGTAAGAAGTTTGTAATTGGGTCTCAGTTCCCCTCTCAAGAGCACTTTCTCCAGTGCTTGCTGACAGAATGGTGATGATAGAGCACAAAAGCTGAAGTGACCCCAGCTACTGTTCCTGAGTATCAGTTAGAAATTAATAGAAAGCACTTCTGAAATGGTAATGATAAAAAAGGACATTTATATACTCATTTTTCCCTGTCAGAATGCTAAAATCATGAACATTCTGGCTTGTGCTATACACCTGGCTTTGTCTTTTTTAGATAAAACTTTAGGTCGCCTTTCTGAACCTCAGTTTCCATAAAGTGGTAAAGTGCTGCCCACAGCGACTCGTGGGGTTTCTGTAAGATAATACCTGCATCGTGCCTGCCTCCTACTGGTGTCATTTGCACAGAAACTTTGAATTTTGATGGTTCATGATTCAAGCTGTGTAATGTTCTCCCACTTTCCATCAGACTAGATAGCTCTAACAGGAAAGGCTACATAATTTAAGGGGCCCTGTGTTCAATGACAATGTAGGGATCTTTGTTCTAAAATTATAAGAAGTTAAGGCAGTGACAGCAGAGCCTTAAACCCAGTGCAGGGCCCTTATATGTGTGAGACCCTGTGTGACTGCAGAGATTGTATATCCCTGATCCAGCCTTCTCTCTCTCCTTTTTTTTTTGTATTTCTTTTTTTTTTTTTTTAAGATATTTATCTTTAGAGAGGACAGGAAGGAGAGAGGGAGAGAAATATCAATGTACAGGTGCCTCTCGTGCGTCCCCTGCTGGGAACTGGCCGGCAAGCCAGGCATGTGCCCTGACTGGGAATCAAGCGGCAATGTTTTGGTTCACAGGCCCACGCTCAATCCATGGAGCTACACCAGCCAGGGCCCAGCCTTCTCTTGAAAATCAGTGTTTAGAGATATGGGGCTGTGTGCCTGTAATATGGAATTATGGGCTGGAAACTGGAAGTCCATGAGTTTGCATCTCAAAGGAGACTGGGAGATTTCTTCGGGATGGGTTGCAACCAGAACAAGGGAGGGGATGCCTCTTATCAATTAAAAAGGTTGCTTTTATGTATAAAAAGCTGCAACATTCTAGGCTTTAGTTGTCCAGAGAAGCAGGGAGTGGGCATGGGTGGTGGTGAGATACTATGGGGAATGTGGCCCTTTGCATATCAAATTTCAGTCCCCAATTGGAAGTGCTTCCCTGGGTGTGTGACAATAGACTGTCCTGAAAGGCCCTAATTTCCCAAAAGGAGCACAAAATTATTCAAACCTGCATTTGTTTAAGAACCACTTACTGAGTGCTGATTGTATGCCTTTCCAAGGTACCAAGGAGTGGAAGACACAGATATCTGTGCCCAGAGGACACAGAAGTATAAAGAGAATACAGGTACAGTGAACTAAATGTACTAGACATTTGTTACATTCTTGGCTGCAAAGCGTCTGAATCCCCTGCTTTATTTGGGGCTACCCCATTGTGTGAGTCTTGGTGGAAAGCAGGGCCTTCTAAGTGTAAAAGCTGAATGAAGGTGGCAGTTCCTTCTTCTCACTGTCTCTTAACTCCACTGAGGACATAAACCTAGACTTCTAAGGCCCCCACTTTGTCTTTTCCAGACATATTGAATATGCCAAGAGGATAAGCCTTGGGTTTGGCCTGAGAGGTTTTGGATAAGAGTTTGGCTCGTGCTCACACAATGACTGGTGATCTCAGGCAAGTCACTTAGCCTCTCTGAGCCTTATTCTCTTTATGCTACTTCACATGGTTATGAAAATTAATTCAAATTAAATAGCAGACGTGAAAATGCCTAACCCATAGCAATTATTTTGTAAGAGTTAGGTCAGGGGTATAAATTGGTATTGGAGCACGGGAGTACTTCCTTTAGAGAGACCCTGAGGCTATGTCTTGGCTTGCAAGAAAAAGACTATGATTGATTAGTTATGTCTGCCATTGTTATTGCCATTTCTGTGTTAGTTGAATCTAGCAGTCTGAGAGAGACTCCATATCATGGTTTTGAGTTTCTGAATTAAGCACCTTGATAGCTTAGGCCCTTGCCTCAAGCTTTCTATGATGAGACCCAAAAAACTGGCAAGGTCCATGATTGGCAAATCTTAATAGCTGGACATCAAATGTCTTCAGTATCTGGTGGGGGGGCTATTTCTTTCCCAGACTTTATGTTAATAATGACTTCTTGGAGCTCCCCAAATCTAGGTTAGCTCTCTTTCTGTGTGGTCCCATAGTGTCCCCTCCTCTTAACCATTCTGTATGCCAAATTCTTACTTTCTTGTCTATCCTCACTACCCCACCCCCCTGCCTGACCACCACAAAGCATAATCCCACTGAGATCCCAGACTGTGTCCATCTTATTCCATATTTTGTCTCTGGCAGCCAGGGCCTTACTAGACCAGTAGGTGCTCAAGTGAGGGAGTGAGCATTTCTGCCTCCTGTTCAGACATGGCAGGAGGTGGGAGGCAGAGTGAGATGAACACAGGAGAACCAGTCACAGACAACAATAGAGTGGTCCTTACTTTCACGTTTCTTCATAATCCATTGAATTTTTCCCTTGTACTCTTCAAAATTTGTCTTCATCCTGAAAGAAATGTGGGTTATCTTTAAAAGCTGAGATTAAATTCATGTTTATATATCATACTACACAGTGTAGACAGTGCTAGAACCTGTTGAGTCTTTTTATGGGTGGAAAGTTAAGCCGATAGCTCTTTTGGACCCACCTTTTCTTCCAGCCAGAGCTCTGTAGTAAAGGCACATGGCATTGACTCAGTGCTTCCCTCCTGGCCTCTAACTGGCCTTCAACCTGGACACCTGGACTGACCCCCAAATTTTTAAAAATAAATTTAACAAGGGTCATCTTTGGGGCTAGGACAGGGCTAAAAGGTCCAAATGCAAGGCTGGCTTTATGAGTTAAGCTCAGGCAGCTTGACTTTTCTATAGCTTGTGAGCATCCCAGTGAAGGTTACATTTGGAAATAGCTTAGGAAAACAGCATTGTTTGTGAACTGGACAGAGCCATTTGAAACCCTTTTACATTTAGTAGGAAATTTTTCAATAATCCTATTCAGAATGACTCACCATGAAAGTCATGCCAAGGCACAGCTTTTTGAAATAATCAAGCCCTTAAAATCCTCTCATGTCAATACACAAAGAGAGTCATCCTGGCATTTTAGTGGCTTGGACTGTTCTTCCAAATTAAGATGGTCTCCAGGGGGAGTTGTGTTTCCTTGTTCTCAGATCAGAACACTTTTGAAAGGGAATGTGCCAGAAGGAGTGAGCTTCCCAGCTTCATTAGATCTGAGAAGAAGGCTTTTGACATGACAGGTTTTAAGTTCTCAGTTCACATTCCTTAAAGAGGGTACAATAATTCAACCCCAAGCAATCCCAGAAGCAAATACTCTTTGCTAGAAAGGGCTGGATTGATATACCTGGCACAGAGCCAAGGTTTACTATCTGTGCTTTTGAAGCAGTAACATAACTTGAGAATGAGCTCTTCATAGCCCATTTGTACCAAATGTTATTTGTTTTATTTGCTGGCACTTTGAATGGATTGGAAGCAGTTACCTAACTTACCATTACCTGTGAAAGAATGATGACCGAGGAGCAGGTGTGGTGATGCCTGCCCCACAGGTCAAGAAAGGATGCCAAATACATGCAAGGGTTAAGATAACTAAGAGTTAAATCCAGCCAGAGGCACCCAATGCCCTTTTGGGAAGGTTTTTCTTTTTGGTCCTCTGCCCACTTTACATGGTAGCTCCTCACTGGCAAAGGCTGTAGGGGTACTGAGATCACCACACAGATCAGCACGCAGTAGATGCTCAGGAAATATTTGTTGAGTGCAACTAGTTCAGAATGAGCCTCAGTAATAGGCTCAAATGGGGAGGAATGGAGCAGGGCAAATACCATATATGAGGCAGAATAACTTACTGGGGTGTTTTCTGACATTTGTTTTTGTAGCTGTATAAGGATCAGAAAGTTTGGATATTTGCTTTCCCCTTTCCTACAGAAACCTCAGGGGTCTCTAGCCCCAGCACACAGCTGAGCCTAAAGCTGAAGTTTCTGGTAGTCAATCTCTCTTCCTGATTTCTGTAAAAGCCTCAACTCACAAAGGAGATTGTGCAGGAAACCCTATCCCCCATAGCCTGTTCCTTGGCACCACAGCCAAAGAGTTTGGGATAGACTCACAGAAGGTCTCAGAATGTACCTTGCTCACCAAGGTTTTTGACAGCAGAATGAATGCAAATGCAGCACAGGGTGGAGGTACACATGGGGTTTGGGAATATTTTGTGACTGGGGTCATGCCAACTAGAAAGGCTTGGTGCCAGCCACAGTCTGCAATAACTTTATCATTCTTCATTCCAGATAGGGCCTCTTGCCATGACTTCCAGGTCAGTGAAGCTCATGGCTTTCCCTGTCCAAGAAACACAAAAAAGCATGAGCTTAGCCTAGGATATGGCCAGGAAATTTCTTGGGCAGCTGCCCAGGATCTGGATTCCCCCACTGGCCATTCTCTTGAAAGGCCCAGGGTTCTGGGCCCTGTTCCCCAGACTTTTGTTCAAGTTCATGGTCCCTTCAAGAATTTTCTTGCCCTGGATTTCTAACTTCCGTCATTGCCTTTCTTTGATCCTATCCTGGATCTCCTGTGCTTATGGATTTCCTTGCTCCTGTGCCTGGCTTGTGCTCCTTCTTTTTCTCCAGGTGCCTGCCTGGCCCTGGCCTTGTTCTTTTCTCTGGTGATCCAATTTACCTTTTCCCTGTGCTATCTCTGACCTACCTCAACTCACTGACCAATACCTTGATCTCTCCAGTCACTTACAGAATTCCCAGTTTCCTTCTGGTTTCACTCTCCAGATGGCCAGTCAGGGGAATGTCAATATCCTCTTCCAGTTCATTGAGAGCAGCCATTTCTTTGATCATGGTCCTAAATACTGAGTCATACGAGGTTTTAAAAAGCTACGAAAGGATCACAGAATAAGATATCCAGAAAACTGGAATTAACTATATACTAATTAATCACTTTTCTTACTCCCACAGGTGCCAGGTGAGATTTCAACATATTATTGAAAAGTCACAAGTAGTGGGTACAGTAGGGTGGCTAGCAAGATTTGTTTTAAAGAATATTTCCACTGTTATCATACCTTCTTCCCAATTTCCTCAAGATCTTTTTTTAACTGCAGCATACCAAAAAATCTTTTGAGAGCATAAAATTGTGCTCTTTTTCCAAATATGGAGATGGCTATAGAAAGTAAAACTGGCCCTGGCTTATGTGGCTCAGTGGTTTGAGTGCTGGCCTGCGAACCAAAGGGTTGCTGGTTCGATTTTTAGTCAGGATACATACCCGGGTTTTGGGCCAGGTCCCCATTTGGGGGCATGTGAGAGGCAAATACACACTGATGTTTCTCTCCCTCCCTTCTCTCTCTAAAAATAAATACAATCTTAAAAAAAAAAGATACAGAGCTAAAGATAGTTTTAAAAAAGGAAAGTAAAAATGCTTTCATGCTTTAAGAGCTTAACAGGCTTTCTGAATTCCAGGAAAGGCCAGTTTCTCAGTGATTGCTCATTTATTCAGTGTGAAGAATGTCTTCAGGACAGCAGTGCAGCACCTGTATGAATTCTTTCCCTGCTGGTACAGCTTAGTTGCTCTAATTTCCTGTGTCAGACCTCTAAGACAACTCCACCTTTAATGATTCTTCCAAAGTAATGGCATCGCAAGCAGCCTTTTTTATTTTGCAAAGTTTTGTTCTAGCCCAAGTACATGTTGCTGACCAGGACTTACACATAGGTGGGTCGTCCCAAGAGTTTCTTTTTTTGGATCCCTTTTGACAGAAGACGGAAGTTGGCTTGGTATTGAGGAAACCCATGGATCTGTCATGTTGCCCTGCCCATACCTACAAGTTGAGGTTGTCATTATTGTTGTTCAATATCTGATAATGTACAGCATGCCATTAACTTACTGGTTTTTGATAGCAAGCAGAAGACCAACATAGTTAGAGTTGCCCATGGCCTAGGACAGTTATAAGAAGAAACTGTGTTTGGTCAGTTTTTCTAGGTTGTGGTGAAAGCTGAGGTATCTCAGGTCTAGCTTGTCTGATTCCCAGCCTCTGCCCTGCTCCTCTGCCCATTGCTGCTATTAAACTAATTAAACAAGGAGGTCATTATCCCAGGGTAGCTCTAAGGCTGCAGTAGCCTAAATAAACCAAAATCTAAGCCTGTCAGTGCCTCAAAATCAAACCCTAAAGACAACCAATCACAAGCAGCCAGCTTTTGGTTTGATGATTACCAGTTCAAATTGGTACATGCTCAAATAAGCTCTTAAAATATTTAATATACCTCGGTTTATCTTTTAACACTGAAATCAATGTTAGGCCAGGTTGAATTAAGGCCTGTGTTGTCTTGTCTCTAAATTCCTCATTATTGACAATCCCATTCTTTAGTGGAGCAACTTTTTATTTGCCTAGGCCAGTGATTTCTCATCATCTGCTTTGGATTCTATTTTATTCTGCAGAAAATGCAGTGCCTACTGTAGTTCACCAGACAACAGACCCACTGCATGGGCTGAGTTGAAGTTCTCCATCTAGGCTGTGCCACCCCATTCAATTTAGCCAGTGCATACACCACCTCATGAGGTTGGTCCCACTTGCTTCCCCAGCCTATAAAATAGAATGTCCTCATCATCATAGTAGGTGTATTGAGCACTCTAGGGCCAGAGACTCCTCCTGGGTGAATCTCTGGTTCTTATAACCAAAAGAGTTTGCATAGCAGGGTTTGTGATGCATGGGTTTATAATAGAAATAAAACAAACAAAATGAACTAAAAACATCAAGGGAATCGAATTGTCAGAATAACCAAAGTATCTATTGATAGCTCCTATCCAAGTGGGAGGATTTTACATCCCACTCCCTAGTTTTGTATCCCAGCAGTTTCAGGTATTCCCCCCTAAAGGGGCTTCAAAAGATTTTCAGCTGTAGGTAGCCTGTGGCATTCATTCCACTTATCTTGTCCTGTTCTGGCCCCTCTTGTCCACATCTGCTGCTGCTGATCTAGCTTGGAGGAGTACTGCTTCACCTAGCAGTATAGCTGTCTATCACGAGAATGCCAGCATCTGGGACATGGATGCTGCCTGAGTGTCCTTCTAAGCTCCTGATTCTTGGAGGCAGAGTGGTATAGACTCTAAGGGGAATATATCTATGCATACTTTGTTACCTGAGATGATGAGGCAAGGTGCTGTGACTGCACAGCCCACCTGTCCCAGGGCCCTTCCCAACGTGCTGCGCTCATCCAGAAGCTCACGCAGCTGTGAAGGAGATGTCTTACTTCTGTCTGTGACCACAGCTTAGCCCAATACAGAAAACTGCAGCTGACAGACATGCTGAAGGTTTCTGAATAATTCAAGTTTCTAATTAAAACAATTGCTTTAAATTTCAACTCTTTCTAAAAAATCTTTCTAAAAAGCCCAAGTTTGTTATCCTGTCTTAGTAAATCCAATGCAGTTGAATCTAAGCTCAAGCAATCTTTTTTCTTCCTTGGGTGTGGTATTTCAGTATTTGAAAAGCAAATTCTTACTAATATACAGGGTGGGGCAGAGGTAGGTTTACAGTTGTTAGTTTGCAAAACACAAAGGTCATTCTTGTATTATTATTTATTAATTATTGTATTGTTTTCCATACAAACAAAAGAAAACCTACTTTTGCCCCACCCTGTTATATGTATAGAAGGTAAGTGTGGAAAGTAAGGAATCGAGGGCTAAATATAAACTGAGAGCAGAAAATTTCCCAATTAAAAAAAAAGACAAAAATAAATACCCAGGGGTTGGGGTTTTTTTGTGTGCCTTTTTTGGGGTACGTTTAGAAAAATATATCTGCTTTATATTGAGTTCCAGGGACACACAATTTCAGTCTTGTGATTGTAGTTAGTACCTATAGCCCTGAGAAGGTTTCTTAGCCATAGTAGAGAGGATGCATAATAATATTTCCACTTGGATCAACATCTGTTGTAAGTCTTAGAGGTTGGACACAGGACATTAGAGCCACTAGGCTGTACCAGCAGGAAAATAATTCATGCAGTAAAGACAACACCACACACCATAGATATGAGGCTTATTCAAACTATTGACTTCCTATCTCATTTCTGGTTACTGGATATAGCTGGGGAAAGGATGCCACCCTTTGAAAGGATGGTGTTAGCAGAACTGCAGACGTGGAGAAGTGGTTCAATGCTATTCATTGCAATGTTTGCTTACAGAAGTGATTGTGTAAGGTTTCTGTGCTGCTAGGTTGCCTCATTTCTGGTCCTTTGCTTAGAGACAGCCAGCTTTTCTTGGAGGTTTTGTTGTCTGTACTTGTTGGGGCTTTTGGGTTTCTGTCTTTTTCAGCACTCCGTCAGGGACATATGGAGCAAAAAGAAAACTCCAGAAATTCACTGTCATGCTGTTCATTAACTCCTCAGGTCCCTACCTGGCCTGCCTTCTTCTTTTCTGCCTTTCAAAAGCTTCTTAGGTTTATTTTATATATAATGTCTAGTGTTTAAAGTTGTACTTAGTGGGAAAATATATATATAGTTCATGTTTCCAGTATCTAACTTCATTTTAACATGGGGTTTCACATAGAATGATTTTCCTTGATATCTAGATGACTTGCATGTTTTGTTTTGGGCTTTCTTGCCTTCAAAAACAATCTTGAGGGTGTTTGTTCATATTGGCAGCAGGGCGCTCAGAAACTAGAGCCTCGGAGTGCCATATTTGGCTTTGTGTGACTCTCTTTGATTAAATTTATGTCATTTAAATTTATATTTGGCATAAGAAAAGCTCATTTGGGTTGTGCTAACAACAGAGTGAAGCTATGAATCTCATGGCTGATGAGGAAGTTACCAGCTAGAGTTGGGCCACCTGCCCCAACTTATGAAGCAAAGTGGTCTTGAGTTTTTTTTGAAATTTCTTTTTATTCAATTTATTGGGCTGCTCCTTCTCTTGGTGGGATGGAGAATTGCACTCAGCTGGATCTGCCTGTGTCCTCAGGGGCCTTTCTGCCTGGTTAAGAAAATTATACAGGTTTCAGATACACAATTTAATCTCAAGTTTTTATCCAACTTACATTGTCATTGAAGTCTTTGACTTCCAGTGTGTCTATGGGCTCATTTAATATATCATCCCAAAAGTTCCTTTGAGAGACAAACTTGACATCTTTCAATTTTGGTAGATACAGCAAAAGGAAAGGCATATGGAAAGAGAACCAAAAAAAAGGAAATAGATTTATTTACTTTTGCTTTTTTAAATAAAAATGCACATATTATCTATGAGACTTTAAATTAATTCATCAAATTTTCTAATCTTCAACTGGAGGATATTAATAAAATGGGAGAAAAGGGTAAGTTTCAGTGGCTGACTGAAGAAAGTGAGTGTGTATTCTTGGTGGCTGGTGAAGATTCATCTGAAAATGTGACATTTGACTGAGTCCTGAAGGAAGCAGGGGACAAGTGGGTACATAGTTGGGGAAGATCATTGCTTCCAGGAGGCTGGGAGGTGCAAAGGCCCTGAGATGAGAGTGAGTAGGAGCGTGATTGATGTATTTGACAAACTGCAAGGGGTACAGTATGTCTGGAAAGGAGCGAGTATGAAGGAGGGCAGTAGGAGAGGAGAAGGGGGTGAGGGAGGGCCAGCTCACCCAAGAGAACTTTAGATTTATTGTGAAAGAGATTTATTCTTAGTGTGATTTTCTCTTGGAAATCCTGAGAAATATTCCTACATCTTGCCAGTTTTGTAAAAAATTGCCTATTTCTGGAATTGCATAGTTTCATAATTGCAAATTAAAGGTAAAGGGCGATGTTTCAGTAGCCCCAAGCTACTGAGCTATAGTCTACTAGAGATCATGAATGTCTTTGTTCTCAAGGTCAGCCACAGCCTGGTGACCCTCTGGGCCAGAAAAGGGCTTAAAGCCTCCACTGTTGAAGGGGTGCAGACTGAGGCAAGGAATTGATAATTACAACTTGGGTCTGGTTTCCCTGCTCCTAGGACAGTGTGGATCCTGAGGCAGAGCTGCAAGGAAAATGTTTCACACAGTAACTGGGCCCCTGGGGAAACTGCAGGGGCCTGTCATCTCAGCTTCAGAGTGACACTAGCTATTTCAAGCTGAGCCACCCAGAGAGGCCTGAATATCTACCAGATTGGCCATGGGGCTGACTTATTTTGTCTGATTCTGTGTCTCTATTATGTCTTTGGGGGTGGAGAAGGGATATTCTTTGTGATTGCCACATGTGTTTTTGTAATATTTGTTCTTCTCAATTTTGATTCAGTAATAAAAACTGACTCCTTTGGGCTCTTGGTGGGATGGAGAATTCCACTCAGCTGGATCTGCCTGTATCCACACCAGGCTCAGGGGCCTTTCTGCCTGCAGCTCTCCTACCCAGCTTTGGTTTATTCCTGATAGACACCTGCATCATCTGCAGTGTACCATAGGCTATGAATCTCTCCAGCAGTTCTTTCCTATAGATACCTCAGGCATACACCATCCCACATGATACTGACAACTCCAAAAGCACTGGCGGAGAGAAGTTTTAAAAGCCATGCAGGGAAAAAACTAGCAAGAATCCATGGGAATTCAAGCAGGCACTCAGGGAGCTTCTTTTGGTTGTCACGTTGTCGTGGGAGAGGAGACCTGAGGAGCTGGAGAGACTGAGTGGCAGTGCCTGCAGGTCTCTGAGTATGTGCTGCCTGAGACTGAGAATAGGAGTCTGGCTCTGGCCCTGAAAGCTTAGCAAATCCCCATCGTTTGTGATTGCTCTATTTAAATAGGCTTTATTGAATGATGCATAGTTAAATTGAGGGGGGAAAAGTAGGCATTTATCAAGAGAAGAAGGTGACTCAGCAGTCCTGAATACTGTTGAACAGTGTTCAGAAGTGTCTGGTTCAACATAATACTTAACCTTATTAACATTGATGGGCACCACCCACCTGTCAAGACAAGCACAGTAAATGCACAGTAATAGGCATAACTGGGCCTGAATGAGACAGAAAAGCTTTACTCCTAATTAACTTTGCTGGAGTGAGAGAATTATCTTCTCAGAAAATGGCCCTATGGGAGGATTGGTGAGGTGTTGGTGGGGAGTGTCAGGCCTGTAATCAAGGACCTGGGCTACTCCCAGCATGCCACACAGCCCTTTCCCACCCTACCCTCACCTTTGTGATGGGGACAATGAGGCTCATCTTCATGGTGTCTCAGAGGAAGCCATGCTAATGTAGGCAAGTGCCTGGCACACAGGATTCCCCAAAATGGAATTTGTTTTTCCCACATCTGATTAAGAACAAATCTTAATTTTCCCCCATCCATTCAGTGCCTGTCCTCTAATTTTTTTTTTTTTGACAGAACTGCATTTTCTGGTTTGGGAGAGATATTGGAGCCATGTGTATTTGCTCTGCTGGGCAGATGCCCAGTTACAGATGGTATAAGGATGAGGAATAGCAGTGATTGACTAACCTGGGGCCAGTTCTGCAACTCAGTGCTCTTTTCACCTCTTTGACCTTTCATGTACTAGATTTCTTGTTATCTTAGATGATAGTTGCTAAGGGCACAGATTTGTAAGCTGTTCTAAAATCTTGCTACTCAACGTGTGGTCCATGGATCAGCAGAGTAGTTGCTGCTATTTGTGAGGAATGTAAGATTTCAGACTTCTCAGTCAGAATATGTTAAAAGGTCCCTGGTTTTCTCTCTACACATGAACATCTGAGCAGCACAAGTTCCTAATATCCTCCTTGATTGGAAATGGAATAAAATAAATTCTATTGATAAGTACCCTTCTGGGAGTGGCGGGGTAGCGGATGGGATGCATAGTCTAGCAGGGTGTCAAACTCATTTTCACTGGGGGCCACATCAGCCTCGTGGTTGCCTTCAAAGGGCCGAAATAATTTAGGGCCATATAAATGTAACTACTGCTTAACTGTTAAGGAGTTGAAATTACATTTGGCCCTTTGAAGGCAACCATGAGGCTGATGTGGTCCCTGGTGGAAATGAGTTTGATGCCCCTGGTCTAGAGTGTGAAAGAGATTGTTTGTTACACTGTTGTGTATCAGGATCAAAGCCCTGACTTCTCCCCAGCCCCCACCATGCTGAAAGTCCCTAAATTAATTTCTAATACGATGGTGTGGTTAATTGCAGGGCTTTTGTTTTGTGAAGTAATGTACACAAGTTGGGATTCTACTACCATAAGGATTTCCCCTTATTATTCTATCTTGTAAAATTCAACTAACCCTTCCTTAATAAAAATGTAAAGTCTTTCAGGGTACCATGTGTAGGGGCTCCAGTTTATTCCCTACCAAAGTGTCATCATATGAGCTCTTGGGAGGGGCCCAGGCATTCCAGTTGAGTCCTGCTGTCCAGACCTCGTGGGACCCAGCAACCAACTAGACCCTCTTTAAATGAGGGACTCTGTATACCAGAGTTTGAGTAGAGAGATGGACTTTTGGTCCTATGCCAGGTCACTCTGTCTTGCTACAGATACCCTCTCTCTCTGCTTCTTGATCTGTCTTCCTTTTTCAGGAAAGGACAAGGAAAAATATCCAGGTTCTGGGGCTGTGTGCTCAGCATGTCCCTAGGTCCTCTCTAGGACTTGGTACAACCTGGATCAGCAGAGTACTCACCCATGTGGGGCACCATCCCCACCTTAGATACTCTGAAGGGAACAGGGATCTTTGGATATATCATATGGGACTCTCACCATTTTCTTCCTCTTGCAGCACTTCAGTGATAGCATACACTAAAAAAATAGGAAAAATTACTAATAGAGTGTGGTGTGGTGAACTAGTCTATGACCTTTGGATCCCTGAAGGAATTAATTTAAAATCATCTTCTAAATGGCTAGGCAGACCAGGGTGGAGATCACATGTTTGGGGATAAGAAACTTCCATGATCTTTAGCAGTTTGAAGCCCATAGCTTATGACCAATAAATATTGATTCTTCTTTCTTTGTTTATTTTTTATCTTGCCCATTAGAATTTAAGTTCTGAGAGTGTGTGATGGGTTTTTCTATCTTTATATTCTGCCCGGTATATAGTAGGTGTACGGTAAATGTCAGTAGGTATATAGTAAATGTCATGGAATAAACCATTATTTTCCCTCTTAACTCTACTGGTAAATATTATTTCCCCCCCTTTCAAGATTTAACTTTAATTCAGATTTAAAAGCATTTACCCTTTGGCTCAGTTTCTTACCTGATCCCTGAACCTTGACACCAAGCCCTAGAAATAATGCCTCGGCCACTGGTCTTAATTAGGGTGCCCTAGTCTAAAATGGTTAAAAGGCTGTTATGGTGTCATGACTTATATTTAAGTCTTTCATTCATTTTTTAAAAATATATTTTATTGATTATGCCATTACAGTTGTCCTGTTTCCCCCCATTCATTTCCCTCCACCCTGCACACCCCTCCCCCTCCACTCCCCTCTCTTTAGTTTATGACCACATGTCTCAGTTCTTTAGATTCTATATTTTCCATACTATTCTTGCCCTCCCCCTGTCTATTTTCTACCTACCATCTATGCTACTTATTCTCTGTACCTTTTCCCCCCTTCTCCTCCTCCCACTCCCCTGTTGCTAACCCTCCATGTGATCTTCATTTCTATGGTTCTGCTCCTGATCTAGCTGTCCTCTTAGTTTGCTTTTGTTTTAGGTGTGGTTCTTAATAACTGTGAGTTTGCTGTCCTTTCACTGTTCATCTTTTTTATCTTCTTTTTCTTAGATAAGTCCCTTTAACATTTCATATAATAAGGGCTTGGTAATGATGAACTTCTTGAATTTGATCTTATCTGAGAAGCACTTTATCTGTCCTTCCATTCTAAATGAAAGCTTTGCTGGATAGAGCAATCTTGGATGTAGGTCTTTGGATTTCATGGCTTGGAATACTTCTTTCCAGCCCCTTCTTGCCTGTAAGGTCTCTTTTGGGAAATCTGCTGACAGTCTGATGGGAACTCCTTTGTAGGTGACTGTCCCCTTATCTCTTGCTGTTTCTAGAATTCTCTCCTTCATTTTAATCTGGGCTAATATAATGATGATGTGCCTTGGTGTATTCCTTCTTGAGTCCAACTTCTTTGGGACTCTCTGAGCTTCTTGGACTTCCTGGAAGTCTATTGCTTTTGTCAGATCAGGGAAGTTCTCCTTTATTATTTGTTCAAATAAGTGTTCCACTTGTGGCTGCTCCTCTTCCCCTCTGGTACCCCTATAATTCGGATGTTGGAACGTTTCAAGATGTCCTGGAGGTTCCTAAGCCTCTTCTCATTTTTTTGAATTCTTGTTTCTTCATTCTTTTCTGTTTGGTTGTTTCTTTCTTTCTTCTGGTCCACTCAGTTGATTTGAGTCCCAGTTTCCTTTCCATCACTATTGGTTTCCTGTGCATTTCCATGCATTTTAATTAGTTTAGCCTTTATTTGTTCCTCTAATTTGTGACTAAAATCAACATCCTGATCACCAGTGTTTTGAACTGTGCATCTGAAAGTTTGGCTATCTCTTGGTCGCTTAGAAGTATTGGTTCTGGGGCTTTGAGCTGTTCTTGAGCCATAATGTAACGGTCTGTTTGCACCTGTTACATATGAGGATCAGAGCCTTAGGTGTTCACCAGGGAAGGGCCACCCAGGTCGCTGGATTGTGATGCTGTATGTGGGGGTGGGGTCAGAGAGGGGCAGTGGTGTTTGTTCTGCTCTCTTAGATTTCTGTCCCCTCTGCCACTTCCCACAAGCAAATTGGGCCCTTCTGGTGCTGGTTCCTGGGTGTGTGGGCTTGTGTACCCTCCAGGACCCTGTGAGTATCTGCAACAAACTCTCCTGGCACCTTGATCCTGAAAGTCTTTCCAATTGGTGCTTTCAGGCTCTAATTTCCATTGCTGGGGCCCTAGCCTGAGTGGTCTGTCTCACTGTTCCTTTGCTTGGTTTATCTGCACTAGAATGTGTGACCACGGTCAGCCAGCTGCCCTGTGCCCTCACTGGGTCCGCCTGTTGCCACCCCATGCCTGGGATACGGTCCACCAATCTTTCCTGCCTGACCCCACTCCAGCCCTCTTACTGGTCTGGCTGAATGGTTCATTGTTGTCATTGTTGTACAGTTCAATTTTCTGTGTTTTGGCTGAGTTTTTGTTACTAAAACTTTGTTGTCTTTAAACTGGTTGTGGGAGGAGGTACAGTGTTTCCACCTACGCCTCCATCTTGGCTGGAAGTTCTCCTTTCATCTATTTTTTTATTCTGGTTCATGGTGTAACTTGTTGGTCTAGTCTCATTTTTTTGCATATACCCATCCTATTCTCCCAATACCATTTATTGAAGAGACTATATTTACTCCATTGTATGATCATGCCCCCTTTGTCATATATTAATTGATCATAGAGATATGGATTTATTTCTGGGCTCTCTATTCTGTTCCATTGATCTGTGTGTCAGTTCTTATGCCAGTACCAGGCTGTTTTGATTACAGTGACCTTGGAGTATAATTTTATATCAAGTATTGTGACCCATTCAGCTTTGTTCTTTCTCAAGTTTGCTGAGGCTGTTCAGGGTCTTTTTGGGTTCCATATAAATTTTTGAAGCATTTGTTCTAGATTAGTGAAATATGCAATTGGTATTTTAATATGAATTACATGATACCATAAAAGCCCTAGCAGAAAACATAGGCAGTAAAATTTCAGACATCCCGTGTAGCAATATTTTTGCTGATATATCTCCTAAGGCTAGGGAAATAAAGGCAAAAATAAACAAACTGGACTACATCAAATTTAAAAGCTTTTGCATGGATAAAGAAAACATCATCAAAATGAAAAGGGAACTGACCATATGGGAGAACATATTGGCCAATGATACATTGGACAAGGGTTTAATTTCCAAAATATATAAAGAACTCATATGACTCAATACCACAAAGACAAAAAATCCAATTAAAAAATAAGCAAAGGACCTGATAGACATTTCTCCAAGGAGGACATACAGATAGGTCATATACATATGAAAAGATGCTCAACATCACTAGCCATCAGAGAGACGTAAATTAAAATGACAATGAGATACCACCTCACACCTGTCAGAATGGCCATCATTAACAAATCAACAAACGACAAATGCTGGGAAGGATGTGGAGAAAAGGGAACTCTAATGCACTGCTGGTAGGAATGCATACTGGTGCAGCCACTGTGGAAAACAGTATGGAGTTTCCTCTATAAACCAAAAACAGAACTGTCTTTTGATCCAGCAGTTCCACTGCTGGAAATACACCATAAGAATCACCTACTCAAAATAACTTATGCACCTCTGTGTTCATAGCAGTACTGTTTACAATAGCCAAGCACTGGAAACAGCCTAAGTGCTCATCAGCTGATGAGTGGATCAAAAAACTGTGGTACATTTACACAATGGAATACAGCAGAAAGAAGGAACTCCTACCTTTTGTGACAGCATGGGTGAAACTGGAGAATATTATGCTAAGTGAAATAAGCCAGTCAATGAAAGAAAAACACCATATTATCTCACTTATAAGAAGAATCTAATGAACAAAATAAATCTAATGAGCAAAATAGAACCAAAGAAATAGAAACATGGAACAGGCTGACAGTGGCCAGAGGGGTGAGATGAGGGGGATAATGATGGAAAGGAGGGGAAGGGACTAGTCAAAGAACATGTATGAATGACCCATGGACATGGACAACAGTGTGGGGATTGACTGTGGGAGCTAAGGGGATAAGGGCAAAGGGGGAAAATTGGGATAATTGTAATAGAATAACAATAAGTTAAACAAAGAAAAAAAATAGCCCAAAGAGGGCTCTCTTTGGCTGATGGCTTGATAATTCTGTGTTTCTTACCTTCTCTGGGATGGAATGTAACTTTTGAAAGTCATTTAAAATCATCGTAAAATTATGAAATTAAAATAATACCTTCTGAATCTGACTTCAAGGTGGATAGTATTGTTGTTGAGCCTTCTTGCTCTGTTTTTAGTTTTAATTTTGAAGGTGCTGTTAAAAGACAGAAGAAGGTGGCCATTAATTATTTTAACCTTACACTTTCCAATGAGTTCATATTGGACATTTAGGGTCTGAGGTTCTTTCTTGGCACCCAAGGCTGATCAATGGAGGGGAAAAACCAGCTGGAAAGGACTGCTGGTATACATTGGATACTCTCTCTGCCCCTCCTGTTTTCTAGGATTGCAATGAACCAATGGCCAGGAAATGTAGCCCCTCTGTGGCCTTCTCCTCTGGCCCCCATGGGGCTAATTAGATCCCCAAGATAGATAGCATGACTGAGGTTGAAGGGGCACCTTAGAGATATTCTTTATTCTGTACGAGGAATATAGAACCATAGAGCCAAGTGGCCCCAAGACTGTGATAAATAATATGGAATGGCTGTCACTGTAGGAAGTGGGTATTTCTGCTGTTCTTGCCCCCTAACAGATGCATAATTGGGACTGGCTGGGAAACATGGGGTTGTCTAATATAGATCCACTAAGATATGCAATGGAGGCTACTATATTTTTCTGAGAACTTTTGTAAGTTCTTGGTGATGATTACTTTGTGTGTTCTGAAATTTTATTTTCTTCACTCATTTTTGCTACCACCATTCCCATGTGTCCCTCTTACTAAACATTCGTGCACATGTGTACACATATAAGTGTGCACACATGTGCACACACATGCACACTCAAGGTTTTATGCTTAATAGCAGAGAGGAGCAGGCCCACAAGGAAAAAGCAAAGACAAACTGCTCCATCTGCTCATGGGAGTAGCAGGCTTTGACTTGATCTGCCATGCGTGGATGCCTTGGCACTTGTGCATTGTCATTGACTGCTAGATCTTCTGCTGTGGCCAAGCTCTCTACAGACAAGAACTCTCCAACTTTCAAGAAAACTCATTTCATTGTGGCATGGCTCTCACTGTTAGGAAGAATTTCTTTTTCTTGATATATTTCCTGGAAGTTAGTGTTATGCTAGCCCTTCAATGCAGATGAAGAGGTCAGGTCTTGGTTTTATATGGCAGATTGCCAGGTATTTGCAGGCAGGCATACTATCTCAGAGACATGTGCCTTCCAGACTTTACACATCCTTTGCTTCAACAATTCTTAGTATGGCATAGTCTTCTGGACTGCTGTAACAACACCTTCTCCAAATCCCAACAGTCTGCTTCTAGCCCTCATAGAGTGTGGTAGCTCTTGGATGGACTAATTGTCCCTAGGCTGACCTTCAGTGCAAGCTAGAGTAGGGCTAATCACTCTGTATAGAATCTTTTAATTATATTTACTTATATTAACTTTTCTGGCTTTCATAGTAGTCATGCCATTGACTTACTGAGCTTATGGTTGAATAAAGCATCTATAATAGAGGGCTCCCCTACATTGTACCTCTCTATCCTGTTGTTTTTGTGGGCTTAAAAGCAACATTTAATTATAAATAGTTCTGGTCCCATGTTTCTGCCTGTCAAGATCTTTGGAATCTGATTACATCGTTCCCATCACCCAACAGCTTCAGGTCATCTATCAACACAAATCTTTCTCCTACATCTGTATCTATGGTCTATGATAAAATGTGTTGGATAGAGTGGCTCCCCGCTGGAACCTAGTTTGACTCTGCCCCTTAAACAGTATCTCTGGGTGATCATTCAGCAGTTACCACTCCATCATTTTACATTAGCATCCACCTGGTATTTCACTTTCTTGTCCACAGGAACATCAGGAAGGCTTTTGAAATGAAACACATTGTGGAATTTGAGTCTACTGGATTACCACCATTTCCTGACCTAAATAACTATCAAAAAGTGATTAAAAGCCAGTATTACTTGCTTTGTTCTTGTTAATCCTATGCTGGCTTCTTGTGATCATTTTGCTCTCAGTATTTGCCTCAGATTAGTTGTAGAATCATTTCCCCAATTTTTCACAGTTCCTCAAAAACTATAAACATGAATAAGCTATTTTTCTCTATGTATATATTCTGAGTGTATTTTATCTAGGTTAGGACACAACATTGTCTTTTGATCTTTTTACTACTTTGCTTTCCACTATTTCTTGCCTAATTTTGTTGTATCCTTTTCAATATGAAGGTCATTTTCCTTCACAATGAAGTAAAAATTAAACAGCAATAGAAAGACATGACTTTATCTGAGTCATTTCTCAACATTGCACTAAATAGTGACAGTATCTGCCTTGATCTTCTTTTTTTTATTTTAAAATATGATTTTAAAATCATATTTTAAAAGAACCCCAAAATTATTGTTGTTGTTATTGTTATTGTTACTACTACTACTACTTTTGGTAAGAATAAGTTAATCTTGGGCAATCAGCTCTCCTGACACTCTTTTATTATTATTACTATTTTTTTATTTAGTTATTTTTCAAGTACAGTTTTTTGTCTATTTCTTCCATCCCAGCCCCCCCCCCATTCTGTGCTCCCCACCTCCCTCCCATTTCCACCCCCCTTAGTTCTCATCCCTGTGTCCTTCATATTTGTTTCTCCAAATCCCTCCCCTTTTTCCCCCTTAAATTCCCTTCCCTCTCCCCTCTGGTCACTGCCCACTTGTTCTCTATTTCAGTGTCTTTGTTTTTTATTCTGTTTGCTTGTTTGTTTTATTGTTTAGCTTCCTGTCAAAGGTGAGATCATATGGTATTTGTCCTTCAATGCCTGGCCTATTTCACTCAGCATAATGCTTTCCAGTTCCATCCATGTTGTTGCAAAGGGTAGTAGCTCCTTCTTTCTCTCTGCTGCATAGAATTCCATTGTGTATATGTACCACAATTTTTGGATCCATTCATTTACTGATGGGCACCTAGGTTGCTTCCAACTCTTGGCTATTGTAAATTGTGCTGCTATGAACATTGTGGTACATAGGTTCTTTGAAATTGTTTTGAAATTGTTTTAGGATTCTTAGGATATAATCCTAGCAGTGGAATTGCTGGGTCCAAAGGCAGGTTGATTTTTATTTTTCTGAGAAAATTCCATACTGTTTTCCATAATGGTTGTACCAGTCTGCAATCCCACCAACAGTGAACTGAGGTCCCCTTTTCCCAACAACCTCTCCAACATTTGTTGTTTGTTGCTTTGTTTATGATAGCCATTCTGACTGGTGTAAAGTGGTATCTCATGGTGGTTTTAATTTGCATCTCTCTGATAGCTAATGATATTGAGCATCTCTTCATGTGTCTCTGGATATTCTGTATGTCCTCTTTAGAGAAGTGTCTGTTCAAGTCCTTTTCCCATTTTTTAATTGGGTTCGATGTCTTCTTAGAGTGGAGTCGTGTAAGTTCTTTGTATATTTTGGAGATTAAACCTTTGTCTGAGGTATCATTGGCAAATATGTTTTCCCATACAGTTGGTTGTCTTGCTAATTTAATACTGTTTTCTTTAGCCACGCAGAAGCTTTTTATTTTGATGAGATCCCATTTGTTTATTCTTTCCTTTATATTCCTTGCTCTAGGGGACATATCAGTAAAAATGTTGCTGCGCTGACACTCTTCTTAAAGTTTGAGCTATTTTCCTACATTTATTGTAGGTAACATTCTCATCTATTTAAACCGAGTGTGATTTTTCAAAACCCAAGTCCAGTGAGGGAAACTTTGTGTAAATGCCAGTTTGTACTTTTAGGAGCTTTCCAGCCCTGCTCTCCATCTGGTTAGGTGGTTTAAAGTAAATTATTCCACTAACAGCACCTCTCCTCTTTCTATTTATCCTCACCCACATTTTCCTAGATACCGTTCTCTTTCTAGTAAGACTATTTTTTTGATATAATATATACCCTTCTCATCACCATATCTGCTCTGGATCAGATGAGGATTCAGCAACAATTTCACAAGTATTTAACAAATATTTATACATGCTCACTGTATGCCAGGCACTAAGTCTTGAGGATTTCTATAAGCATGGTTGTAATGCTCTGTGTCAGAACTTTTGGTATACTATGTTTATGACCCTGGTGTGTGCCTGGATAGGTGGACACTGGAGGCCATCAATATCCTTTCTGATCCTCCTTCAGCATGCTTCCTCACATGGGTCACAAGGCATTTCTGGTACCTTTAGCAATCCTTCCATGTTGGATCTGCTACTCTCTGTAATAAGGTTTCAAGGATTTATCTGGATGTTTTTCCTCCACATTTGATTCAAAGTCTGATTTGTTGAGGAGGAATATGACATGTAAAATGCCATTTCTGGCCCACTATGGTTGAACAATCTCATAATAAAAATGTTTTAAAATAGGAAACTTGCACCCATTGTATTCATCCTATACTTGTGGCCTATGGTTCTCCAACACTTCTGCACCTGAGAATCCTCTGGGGATCTTGCTAAGAATGCAAGCAGGGATCTTGATAAAGGCTGGGGATCTTTATAGGCATCTAGTGGTGGGAATGCACAGTCTTGGCCTTATGGATCAGTAGTGTTGATGCCAGCTGTCATCTCTGCTTGTTCCTGCTGGCCCTCGGCCCTACACCACCAGCACTTTGAATTGCTTTTGTCCATATTGTCCCATATTGTCTGTGTTTTTCCAAAAGGCAGGTGGGTGGCTTTAGCCATGGGCTGCAAGTAGATTCTTTCTTGCATCAGCCACAGAGGGAATCCTTAGTGGTCTGTGCTCCAGCTGCGGAGGAACTGGCTTTCCTTCTTGGCATGGGCCCATCTTCATCATCCACAGATCATTTGAGTCACTTTCCTTATCTCTTCTTGACATGGTTTTGAGCTCTTCTAGCTTCCTGGACCTCCGTATTTCCTGGTTTCCACTTGCACACTTCCATCACTTTCTCTTATAACAATTCATCCTCTCAGAGAAGTTTTTTTCTTATATATTTGTTCCATTCCATTGGCCAGATCAATTATGTACCTATTACTGGCAAGTTTTGCTGAATTATTATCAATGCTCTTCAAGCAAATAGGTTGTAAAAACCATAGGCAGAAGGGGAAGAAGAACCTCCATGAATTTTAGGGAATTGTATATTTTTCCCTGTGTTTCAACCTTTGCTGTAAAGATCATCCCCTCACATAACTGCAGGAACCTGGGGTATGTCATTGACCCTGGGTAAGGGCTTCAATACAGTCCACACACCTTTGGCCCAGGGCACCCATGTCACAACATTTGCAGTGGCTGGCTAGACTTGAACTAAACACAGAATATATGTTGGTATTAAGAAACTCAATTGATAAGACAATTGCAAAACATGCCCCTATAGAACAAGCATGCAGAGTGCTTTAAACTTAAGTTAGAGACATGACTAGCTCTGTAAATTAAACTTAGAAACCAAAAGGATCATGGATTAACAGGTCAAATCAAACAGTAATTTCCAGAGGGCTTTTTTCATATATCTGTGAACCCAGAGATGGGTCCACAGAGATATGAACAGGCCCTATGCCCCTCTTCTGACACCCCAGCCTTCTCTTATCTTCTTTCTCCTATCCCACATCCCTTCGAGCTTAGCATCAGCACTTTCAAGTAATTACCTACTAAACGACTTTCAGGATGCTGCTTATGAATATGTAGAGAAATGCTTGGATTTTTTCTAGCTGTTATGCTTACTGACTTTGACATAGTTCCAGCGGTTGGGGCCCCATCAGAGCGCGTGTGCTGACAAAGGTCCAAGAAGATCTGATTTGGCCTGTAAAACACTCCTCATCATGTGCTGCCTGTGCTACCAACCTCCTAGCTTGTATGGGCTGCCCTTTGCCTCTCCATTCTCCGTCATAGGTTCGGGCACCTAATTTCATTTAATCACATTGGAGCTATGAAATTTAGCAGGCACAGATCAGGTCAGGGAGATGAGGTGATGGGAAAAATCTAATTTACTGCTGCCATGACTATAGATGTGAAACAAATCTGTGAACCTGTGATGGGTCAATATCACTAAGGCTGGATTTAAATTATTAATAATGGTGAGAAATTCAGTGTTTCATCCTCAGGATCCTAAAGTGAGGGGCCTTTGGGTTTATTTGGGTAGAGGATTAAGCTGCCCAGTGAAACCTTGCCAGACTGTCTCTGAGTGTCTTCCAGTTGTGGCCACAAATGTTCACACTAGGCTGGTTTGGACCGGTCTTGAGTCAGGGCTGGCTTTGACTGCACGCTAAGACAGAGTCTGGGGTTGTCCAGAGGGGCACCCACCACTGTCCATGTGATTATCTGGATAAGGCTCATCACCTTGGGGAATGGATCTGTAATTGGAGGAGGAAATGGCCTGTGTCCATGAGGGAAATAGAGCCTGTGTTCATGAAGAACAAGAACAGGAAGATTAATGAAGAGAGAGAAAAAGACTGAAGAAGGTAATTGTCTCAGTACTTTGCTGATGCCCTTTCTCTGAGGGGAGTCTGGATAGAGGAATTTTGCAGCAGGACTAGTAGAAGAATTTAACTTCTTACCCAAAATACGACTTCAAATGGCACAGGAAGCAGTTCATACCCTCATCATGAGAGATAATACTTAAGCCCCGATCTTTCACATACATGGAATGCATTCCTCCCCCAGCCCCTAGGGAGCCCAGCTGTGGGTGGGCAGCAGGTGCAGTTCCTCTTACCTTTGGTCTCATAGATGTATTCCGTCTGTGTGCCCTGGTCCTGCCAGGACAGAGACTCTCCATCATTCTTCATGAAGGATGTAGAAGGCTTCGTGACATAATAAAGAGACTTGCTAGCAGGTTCAAAGATGGGAGTAGGGATAGTGAAGAAGGTGGTCACCTGAGAGATGCCAGCAGGTGGGCTTCTGTCAGAAGGTAGCACAGGATTCAGTTAACTTCCAAACAGGCCAGGTAGGAACCCAGGGCCATGGCCTACTGGGAAGCTGGGATGGTTGTAGCTGCTCTCCAGCTCCTGTGGACTTCTGCCCATCTCAGATGGTGGTCACCACAAGGCAGAAAGGACCAGATTGTGGATCACAGAAGATAGCCTGTGTGCCATTTTGGGCAGCAGAGCCCCATGTTGCCAAATGCACTTCACTTATAGTGGAAGAATCTGTGGGTACCTTCAAAGGCCAATCGGCCAGGCTTCTATAACTGACTGTCCAATGTTCCGAAACATTCTGTCTTTTCTGGTTCATTGCCCTGATCATTCCAGTTGCCCTTCCTGCTTCATAGCTGCTTCAGACACAGTGGAAAAAAATACCAAGGTAGATGTCACAGTAGATTAACATCAAGCTCTGAGGTCTGTCCCCTCTGGTCTTCCTATTACAAATACTACCATCATTGAGAAAGGTTTCTGCAGGGCCTGATGACAGGGTGTTGGGTGTGGGGTACAGACCCTGCTGCCTGGTAGCTCATGATGAAAAGGGACTACCCCAACCCACTGACTCATACTGTGTCTTTTCTTAGGAATCTCTGACTTTTACCTGGGGGCAAGAAACCACAATTCAAAGGAATGAAAAGGGTCTTTGGGGTGCTCTGGCCCTGAAGTCATCTCATGTAAACTGGCCCAAGAGTTGTAAGGGAAAAATGCCCAACATATAAATGGGCAGAAACTATGGTTGGTAGAAAAACATAGACTTTGATGTCAGATAACCCAAGTTTAAATCTTGGCTCTTGCATGATAGTAGAGTAAATTTTGGTAATTTACTTAACTTCTGTGCCTCAGTTTTTGCACCTTTTTGAAAATCATACTTCCCCACAGGTGAGGACAAAATGAAAGTGGGGGAAATCAGGGCTCCTGGATGCAGGAACAGGGAGGGGGTCAGGGACTGCAGTCTGAAAGTGTGGGTGAAGTGGTTGAGGCAGAGAGGAGGAGCCACTCTTTCAAACCTGGAGACACCACCAGAAAGCTATTCTCTTTCATTGTCCGTGGGTGTTACAGGTAGGTCTTAGGTCACTTCAAGGGCCCTGTGGTGGGCCTGGGTTTGTGCCAGCCAGCAGGCTGGGGCAGAGCAGCTCTTTCTCGGATGTGCCATTGAAAGGGGACCTGGAGTCAAGCAGCAAGATGCTTGGGTCCTAGTCATATGACTGTAAGGATCAAGAACTAGTGGACACAGGTGAGCTTTTTAGGCAAGTGTCAACTCTTATCCTGCTCCAGGCCTCAAGGACAGATCAGGAGCCTCCTGTGGACTTTTCCTTCTAGTGAGATCATGCCTGTCCTACCTCACTCACCAGGTGCCCACTGGGACCCAAAGAGATAATGCAAATCCTCAGGAAAGGACCTTGAGAAGTCAAAGCTGCCAACAGACACAAGGATTATACTTAAGTTAATAGTGGCTCTGGCCATCTCCATTTCTGTGTACATTTACTTAGCACCCTCCATACCATGACTACCCCAGCCTGGGATGTTGCAGGGCCTTCTGGGGCACATACTAGGGCTCTGCTGTGGCCTCAGCACCCACCAACCTGGGTTGACACCAGCTCCCTGCTCCATCTGCAGTGGGGAAAGTACCCATGGGATCCCAGATCCCAGAGAGTTTTGACAATTCCAGGCCTGCTTTAGCAGCTGTTTCAGAGTGGGGAAGGGGCCTGGCATATGCTTGTGGGACCTTCAGGGCATGCATGTATAATGGGAGAGGTAGATTTCCTATTTATAAGAGAACCATGAAACTCTTGACTTGAATGCACTCTCCTTTCTAATCCCCTTTCTTAAAAGACACAAGTGTAACACTGCTTTCCTAGAGGTTTGTGGAGGGTTCATTCTTTCAGCAACCTTGTGTTAGGAAAATCCAGGACCTATCTAATCACTCCAGGGTCCAAACCTGAAATTTGGGGACCCAAGCCAGAAGCAAATGGACAGACCCAGGTTAGGCCCTAGGACTTCTTTGATCGCTGTGTTTTCCTCAGGGCTCTAGGAACAAAAAACCCACTCAGCTAAACTATGAAGAAAGGACAGTACAGGTGGGTGTGTTGGGAATAAAACTGACCAGGAATCATGATTCTAATTCTAAGAATGCTAAGTTCCCACGTGGTGGTTCATGGAGCTGAGAATGGAGAATAAAACAGTCCTCAGCACTCACTTAGCATGTCCTATGTGCTAACCACTGTTCTAAGTGGGCCTCATGAGTTAATACTCATTTAGTTCTCACTTTAGCCCCATGAGGCTGAAGCTCACTGTTGCCATATTATAGATAAGAAAACCAACACAGGAATACTAAGTGGTCACCCTATGGCATGCAGCTGGCAGGTGAAGGAGCTGAGATTGACAACCAGGCAGTCTGGCTCTGGACTTCCTCTTCTCAATCATAATATTTCTTTTTTTTTTTTTTGGGTGCTATAACTCTTGGTATTTTATTAACAGTTGCTTCTCCTTGCTTCTAGGAGCTTCCTTCCATTAGTCTTTCTCCCTGTTTCTTTCTGTTTTTGATCTTCCTTCATTTAGCCTTTTGTTTTTGTGCTTTTCAATCATAATATTTCTAATGGTCACTTCACTGTCAGGCCCCTTCACTGCCACATTGTGTAATGTTCTGTGAGTGTCCGTAGCTGAGGTGTTGGGGGCCTTTGAAAAGTCACTCCCTTTTACACATTGCCTTAATGGGGGGCAATCCTTTCAGATCCATGTTTCTGTGCCCCTGGAAGTGTGAAGCATGGAATGAGGGGGCCAGTAGAGAGCAGGAGTGGGGGGCTGGGCCTTTCCAGGTCTAAGGATACCCCTGCATAGAGCCCTTAGTTCTCAAGTTGTAATCTGTTGCTTCCCAATGCACCAGAGCTGGGAGTTTATCCCTGCTTCTAACCATAGCCAGCTGGCCTTGTGCTTTCATCATACCTAGTGTCAACCCACTTTCCAAGTGGACAGAAATGATCAGTCATCCTTTGGGAAAAGATTGTAGGGGCTGAGACTCAAGGACAAGTACTGTGAATCAGTAGCTGCCACCCCCACCCCCTCCACCATTTAAAACATTTTTATCATTTATTCCACAGGCATGTTATTGACCATCTAGTGTGTGCCATGCTCTGTGGCAGTTTAATGAATACTCACTGAATGATCATTTATACCTTATAAGTATGCCTGAGCAAACAAGATCACAACTTCCTTTGGACATTTATTAATCTCCTTAGTATAAGCACATGGGGCCCTTTGCTCTCTCTTCCCTGTACCCCCTGCACTTTCACCTCTGCAGTTCTAGGTGCCGGGGCTCTGAGCTTGGGACCTGTCCCTCACCCTGTGAGTGACTGAGTGGCAGAGGGGAGCAGTACTGAGAGGTCCTTTGTATGTGACTTCCAGAAGATGTCACCCTGATTGAAGTCCGTCCTTCCTCAGGACCTGTTCCCTGCATCTCCTTCCCCTCTCCCCACTCCCTGCCTTTGGAAATCTAAAGGCTCCTGAAGCATCATCCATAAGCATAAATTTCCACCAGATTTATCCAACAAGAAAACTATTACCTTGTATTAAGATGAAGCAGGGTTTGCGATGAATAAGTCATCTTGAATTCTATTGGGGAAAAGAAGAGAAAGAAAATATTAGAAAAAAAATCTTTCTTTCTAGTTAAAAAGTTGTTAAGTATGTAATGCTGGGATTGGGGTGGAAGGGTCCTGATTTATAATTTTTATTTTATTTTTACTGTTCCTTACAGTTGTCTCTCTAAATGGTTTCCTTTAGAAATTATGGGGTTGTAATTTTATAAAATCAAAGAAAACTCAAGTCAATAATTGTTATGCAATCATAATTTTGGAATTTCAAGTTTGCTGTATTAATCTTTCATTACAGGTGCTCTCTGTGTCACAATATGAAGGATATCTGTGCAGAAGAGGTAACTGAGATTCAGAGAATATAAACAATTAAAAATATTTTTAATTTTGAAGAACTGTTTGTGTCATTTAATCACCTGTTTGCCTTGAATGATATGATATCAAGAATTTCATGTACAATTGGGATAAAATATGACATGAATTCTAGTAACAGACAATGGCACAGTGGAAATAGTAAAGAAATTAGAATCAGAAAATCTGAATTTGAAACTTACATGTTCAACACTTACACTTAATTTACTCATGTGACAGAGCATTACTGAGGATTATTACTTGGCTATTAAAATGATGTCCCCAAAATTTAAGCATCAAAAGCAAATATTGAAGTCACAATACTAAGTTACAAAAGTAAAATTCAAACTTGTATATATAGTATGTTTAAAAAAAGGAAAACAAAACAACAAAACAAGGACTGCTAGCACCCAATATGGAAACACTAAGAATGGAAAGCATAGATTAAAAATCACTAAAAGGTGAACTAGCTTTATTTATATTTTGATATTGATAGGTTGGGTGGTGTTTTCCTATTTTTCAAATTTTCCACTAAAATGAACAGAGGTAGATTTTTATTTCTCTTTATGTCATTCTTCTGAGATTAAAGTATGCACACAATTTATTAAAAAGCATAAAAAATGATGGAAGGAGAAAGGAAAGGAGAAAAGAAAAGGAAGTCATCAGAAGAGAAAGAAAAGCTTTTCCTCACTTTTCTAATTATTTTCCATGACCTTGGGGTAGTGGCATACCCTCTCTCTAACTCCAGGTTCCTTGTTTGTGAAGTGGGAGCTAAATAATGGCTGGGAGAATTAAAGGAGACAAAAATTGTGAAATATACTACATATACCGTATGCCATTGGACTATGCTCCCAACCTTCTTCGGGACAAGTAACACACGAAAAATGATACTGTTTGATGGGAGAAGAGTGAAGGCTGGAGACAACTGCTAACTGGGGCTCAGCAGCTTCCTCCAGTTGATGATTCAAAGTACACTGGTTGGGAAGCTCTGCCATAGTCTGTGAACCTTCTTGCTTT